TCCCTCCCTCCCTCCCTCCCTCCCTACCTAGACCCAGATCCAGGTCGTCGACACCCATGGGGGAGATGAGCGTGGGGTCGGCTCCGGACCCCCTGAGTCGGGCCATCGCTTGCTTGGATGCACTGTCCACCCGGCTGGCGCGGTGAGGGAGGGAGGGGGCAAGGGTGAGGGAGGGAGGGAGGAAAGATAGAGGACAGAGGTGGACCTGACATCCAGTCCGACCTCCCTGGCCCTCGAACGCTCTTGGAGATTTTTCTTGTTCACATATATATATTTATTCACATCTTCAAAACAATTCTCGTGCAAGCGAACCACGCAGCAGTCCTCTCGCTTTCCCTTCCAGCCCGCCCACCTCCCCCTCCCTTTCACTTCCTATCTCCCCTTTCTTACCTTTTAATCCGATTGAGGGCCGCAATAAGCTTATGTTCCGTGGGCTCCGCACGCTGAGGGTGAGAAAAAGGAAGAATCGATTGCCTCAGCGCCTTTGAAGCCCATGAAATACCTGGGGCACCCCACTGATGCTTCCAGACCATCTCCCTCGTCGTTTCGGGCAAAGCAAGGGTACAAAATTCCATCATCACTGTTTTACTTGCCTTAAGGGATACTGTAACGACAGCAGAGGCGCCTCCGACATAGAGTGCGAGGAGAAAAAGCCCTGCTTTCATGGCTTATGCTGTCTATGGAGAGAGGGACGAGGCCGGAACAAAGGATCAGGGGCAGGGGAAGGGAGGAGAGGGGGAGAAAAAAATGAGGGAAGGATGCCAGGGGCAAATGTCCACATCCACGCGAGGCACATTTTCGTTAGACACAGACAATAGCCATTACACCCACAGCGGGCGGATACGGATGACGGGTGAGGTCATGTGCGAGTCTGTTGTGCGGGGATCCCTCCAGCACGACAGCGAGAGCGGTCACGACACGGCACAGCCCGCCCGTGGACAAAGCATACCACGAAGGTTTCGGCCAGCACCACGTACACCGCACGAATTGCCACGGTCCCTGTGGAAAAACGCGCTGCCAGGGGTTGCACGCCCGTCACTTCAAGCGTGGGCCGTGGTTTTCCCTGGAGGAAAATATTTCGCCCCAAGCGTCCTCGTCCCTGTGGAAGCTCGCCCCCCCTCCCTTGGCGACGCTTGCGCACTATATCCCTCAAAAACCATGGAAACCGGTCCGCGCACCCGTTCCCGTGCCCCTCCGTCGTGGACACTACATGCAATGTGCCATGGAATGCAGGAGCGGACGGCTTCCGAATCGGGCGGGACGATGGAGTCAAGCCATTGTCCTTAAAGGCATTCGTAGCTCTTATCAGAACCCACAAGCCCCTTGGAATCTATAAAACATCGTGTTGACAAAACAAGCTACCGGCTTGACAGAACATCTCTATGCCTGTGGGCGGGAACCAGATTTGCGACAAGTATCATGCAAATATATGCGACGGACCGCAGAATTGTAATGAAAAGTTGACGTTTTTATAGCGTGCCTTGTTCACAATTGCCCTTTAAATCAATGCCGTGATGACGGATATTTCTGATACGTGTGCGACACATTCCACACGCTCTCTGCACGTGAAGTCCTGTTTGATGACATTAGACATTAGATGATACCTTTACAGGGGCCGGTAGTTTTTTAAAGGTTGAAAGTGACATTTCAACACCGTGACATGAAAGAATCTTCACACTCACGACCAGTAGATGCTTTTCTTGACACTGACCGATGCTAATAATTTTTATGGGAAATCTCTCTAGGCCTCACAAGAAGGCTATTCGTCTTTTTAAAAACCTATGCGTGCGATAAGAAATAAAAGCTGCGAGTGGGAAATGACCGTGCCAAAGGCCAGAGCATCCGAGAGAAAAAAGGAAAAAAGCACCACCCCTTGCCTTCGGCGCCCAGACAGCCTGATATGTCACAGTCCAATTCTTCAATTTCTTTTTTTAACTCATGCGGTAGTTCCTAAAATAACAGCCAGTTGCGCGCAGTCTTGTGTTTCCTCGTCCCCACCCTCTGTCTCCTCCTTCCGTCTCACTCCAAAGCACCGTTTCCAGCGCACATACCTCCAGTATCACTCCCGCCCCCATTCCCTCCCTCCGTCCCTCTCTTTCCTCCCCTAAGCCACGGACGTAGGGAGCGTATGCGTCGTGGTTGAGCCCTTTCCAAAGTCAATCAGCGCCACACCTCCCCGCGTCCCCTCAGCGTGTTCTCCGAGCTCCCCTTCCTCCTCCCCTTCACGACGCTCCCTGGCACACAACACCTGGGAGCAGGCGAAGAGAAAGCGGAAGGGAGGGAGAGAAGACGATT